CCATGGAGCTGGGGCAGCTTAGGGATGAGAACGCTCATCAGAGACACAGTGTTGAGGATGAAATGGATCTGGTCGTACTTGGTGTAGAAGCTGGTCAGGAAGTACCTGGAGGGAAAGGTTAGGGAGAGATGAAAAAACGGAGGTCACCTCCTCCCTCAGAATTCCGACCACTAAGGAGTTATAGGAGGTGTCTCCACACCAGAAGTGGAATGGCAAGATCTCCCGGGCTACTGCGGCCCCTATTAACTCAGCCCCCTCCTGCACCCAGGCCTGTGGGCCAATGTCTTTCCAACTGAGAAAAGAGGGCCAGGGAGGCCCAGGCCTGAGTGCAGTGTAAGACCCAGGGATCTTTCGCCTTCCCTTCTGTTTATTCCTACATCAAGGGCCAGAGTTGGGGAGGGGTTTAGGTCTGGCTGGCCCCAGGCTCCCCCAGGCCTTGTCCTGCCTGCTGGTGTCCTCACTAGTGAAGGCACTCACAGCACAATGGGCGTGATGGTCAAGAACTTCCGAGAAGCCGTGAACTGGACCCCGTAGTCCATCTGCTCCCAGTGGGTCAGCAACCTCGCTTTGCCCTGGTCTGGGGTCTCGAAGGGTGTCCCTTTCACTGTGTGCAGGAAGATGTACATGCCCTGGAGAGGGGTGCCTTCGTTAGAAGATACAAAAGGCCAAAGGGCCCCCAGCTTAGCTCCTCCACCCAGTCACAGAAGTAGTTCCAGGTGATCTGCAGCCTCCCCCTGTTGGGCAGGGGGATATGGGCTGGAGGCCAAGGTGGAGCAGCTGGGAGACAGGCATAACAAGAGGACTCCAGGGGGAGAGGGCAGGCCTGGCATGAAGAGACTGAAAGGAAGAGAAGTTAGCTGCAGAAAAGGCATAGAGATGCTACCTTCCGGCCCAGGTGGAGCCTCCACGAGCCAGAAGGGAGGGGCAGGCTGAGGGGGACTGAACCCCTGCCTGTTCACCAAAGGATTAAGAGGCAATGACTGCTAAGGGGCAAAGGAGGACCGGAGTGAGGGGTGGCATGAGATCCTAACTTGGGGAAGGAGCCTTTCTACTCCAGGCTAGGCACTAGGACTCCTGGGTGCTGGGGATACTTCAAAGCCCTTGGTTCAGTTCTCAATAGCCAACTTCCAAATCCACAAGCCACCCCATCCAGGAGATGTAGACAACTCTGCAGATTTGATTCTTCTTATAGGTGTGCACAGAGCTGAAACCCAGGAGGAGGAGTGGGATAGAAAGGTAAGAGGTAGGCCTGGGCGCTGGCAACAGCTGTTGTCAGGTCATCACCCTGCTACCCGGCCCACGTTTGGCAGATTCCTTCTATTCCTCAGCCCCATCAAAGAACAGCACATATGGTCAGATGCAGGTTCTCACCATGTTGTGGATGAGGTTGGTGAGGGTCCAGACGACAGGGACACTCACGAAGGGGATGCTCAGCAGCACGACATGAAGAAGCCCAATGGCGAGCACGTAGGAGAGCCAGATGCCACGGCTGTTCATCACCCGCGTATTGGGGTTCACTTCGCTGTGTGCTGTGCCCACATTCATCCTGACACCCCT